TTTTTATGCCCTGGAAAGAAACAGGAAGGTTCAAAATGAGGGGAAAGACGTTGTATGTACTGAGCACACACAGTTTGTATTCAGGGTCAAGTTGTGAATTCGAGTGAAAGCAGAGACCCGTGCAAAAACTGAGATTCGCTTAAAAAGCAATTATTCATTTTGTTTCTGCGCACATATTTTTTCATGTATGTTGGAATGTAAGAAGACTACATACATACTGACAAAATTTATTAAGGCGTACATGCAAATTTATAAGATGTACTCTATATCTACTTGCCTTTATGTACATAAGTAAGAGTGTGTGGAATGTGCGAACTTTCCACTCACCAGGAAAGCTCAAAGTGTCGACATAATTCATGTTTTGTAGCCAATTCATCTCAGAATTGGGGAGGAAAAAATCTGGCCGAATCTCAAGATTTCTCTTCCACCACGACCACCACTACTGCGAACTTTCTCTAACATTTTATTTAAAAAATATACAGTCCAAATTTAAATTATACGGAGACGGAAATCCGTGCCAAAAAATGGATCATGGCCCGAAAGGCAGGGTCTGTCACCCCCGAACAGAAATATCATTTCTTCATTTTCTGCCTCTCTCTGTGAGAAAAATTTCCGATATTATTATTATTACAGAAATCTGCATGGAATCGAATCGGATAACCGAATCAAGTTGGAAATGCGGGGGACGATCCAACATAAAAAATAAGAATGTCATAAAAAGGCGAAAGTAATATTTTTCCGGCCGGGGGTGTCCGCTGGTGGATGCGTATTTAGTTTGTGACTCAAGGATTCACTGTTGGCACGAGGAGGCAAATGGGGTTTCCGTCCTCGTCGGGTCGTGGTGGTGGTGTCAAAAAAAGAGATGAATGTATCAGATAGATTGAGCATATTAGTGACGGGCGGGAGGGAGTGGAGAAAGTGAGCCGTGTGCCCGTGTAGCATTTATTGGATGGATGGCGAGGTGCAGATTCGTACCAGCGGCCCACAGAATGAAGACGGATGAAAAGATTTCCACAAATTTAAATGGCAAAGGGAGCAACCTTTCGGAACAGGTTGGCTACCAGATTTTGCACGCGATGCAATTTTTTACATATATGCATGCATGTACATTTATATTATGTAATACATAGTTTTTGCTGTATTATATAACAACGGAATGCATAATCCAACTTTTTATTAGTGATCTGGTCGAAATACTGATGCGAAGGTGCACATGGGGAAAGTAAAATTGTGTCGAATATGCAAATGCGAATGTGCATGGTTTAAGAAAAATGTGCAAATTTAGACATGTCGAAAGAAGTCTAATATCTATGTACATGGGTTTATTCATGTCTTCATACTGAAAAAGTGTATTTTTTGCACGTTTTCAAATAGAATGATATTTTAGCAATAGACTTGTGTATAAATTGAGAAATATATTGTCCTCATAATTTTAATACACTTTCCCACCTCCCTTTCCTGCAATAAAACAGTTAACAAATGCAATTTACACCTGTAAATTTCACGGGAAGATTATGTTCCGCTAAATTATGTGAGAACTGCAAGTCTGCCCGAATGATGCAACCGATACACATATTGAGGTTATCATATTTTATGTTTCCTTGCATAACACGGCACAGTTTTCCAATTCGACGTTGTTTCATGCTTGACAAGTCAAGTTTCGCCTTCAACTCTATTTTCGTCCCGTATTTATCCCTGCTCCCAAAATGTCTATGAAAATCAAAAGTAGATTGAATTTTGGTTTGGTTTTGATCCATTTCATTTGCAGATAGAGTGGGATTCTTGTTCCATTATTCGCGTGGGAAGTAAGTATCCTGCTGAAGTGCAGTCGTGGTTTAGTTTATCCTGCGAAAATTATGCACAGAGGCCAACGATGAGTTCTGGAGAAGAGAGGAGTTCGGGATGAATCAATATTTATGTAAAGTGCAAATTGAAGTCAATTTGCGAAAAAGCAAATTGAAATTTGCCCACTCGAACATGTAAACTGCTTTTACATACTTCGTAATAACGCGTAATATAAAGTTGCGGAGTAGTTCGCAAAATACTTGACATGCAACAAATGACATAATTTACATCGACTTTCGGTAAATTGACTTTACACATTTTTATTTGCCTACAAAGTAAATTGTGTGAATTGGATTAGTTCCAAATGATGGGAAGCACTTGCCCTATTTTATTTCATTTCTTGTTGAGAGCATCTTATTCCTCTTTAAAAAGTGGAACTTTATTCGCAACGAAATTAATCAATCCATTTCATTGCTTTCATTTTTGCAAATTTCATATGCAAAATCAGAATACAACGTTTTTCGCCTTTCTTAAAAACATCGACTGATAATAAAATTGCTTTCACTTTGCAAATTTCATACGCAAAATCAAAATACACATATATTAAAACTGCTTTTCCCCCTTCTTAAAAACATTAACTGTATTAAACTAAAATTTCTTAAAACCCTTTCATCACCAAAATTTTCCATTAAAACCTACTTTCACCCCGTCGTACTTACGTATGTACAAAGTGGAAATGAAATCAATGAACCCAGACGCCAAGCACTTTCACCTGAAGCAAACTTTATTTAGCACTCACGACCACGAGTCAATACTTGCACTCACACTTTCTCCGTCCCACTTCCCCATTTTTTACGAAGGTATAGCCTCTTGGCCCTCGTAAGTTAATCGTTAATGCAAATGATTACTTCTTTTGCTTGAAAATCGCAATTTCTGATCCTCCCAGCTGATATTATTTGCCCTGTGAGCTTTCACCGAGAGAAAATGGCTTTTGTCGCCAGTACCACTCTCACTCAAGTTGCGGAAGAAAAACGCATAATTTTTTTCTTTCTCTGCTTTCTCTCCATTTTTATTATGAGATATTTTCTCCCTTCCATTATCCTAGGAAGGAAAGAAAAAAAAGAGAGAATATAAGAATCTGATACCACCACACACTCCAACTTTTGCTTTCCAACAACTTTTGTGCCCTACACGCTTTGTATGTTTGTGTAGACTTGTGAAAAAAGCGTAATATTCTTAATAGCTCTCTCGGGCCTTGTTTCCATTATGTGTGAGATGTCATGTCATATACATGTCGCTTACAGTGGGTTAACTGCCAAAAGTTAACCTTTCTATGTGACCATGCATACGACGTGTGTCTCTCTCTGGGAAGAGCAGCCTGGCCAAGAGAACATATCTCATAATGTCCACTCTAATAAATCCAACATGTTTCAAGTCCGACTTAAATAAGAGATGGATTCGCTAATCCGGATGGATGGTGGCACATTTGCATAAAATATCGATTCACTTTTTGCCCGATATATTTCCTAACCTTGACTAATTTAATGTATAAAAAAAATCTAATAAGAACTCCTCCGAATATAGATCGGACCGGACCCGAGAGAACAATAGTGCAAAAATGGTGGTAACAAAAAAGTAGTCCTGCTCAGATTTAATCCTAGGAAATCTTACAACCCGGTCGTCGTCCACGACAATTCCCTGTTCTCCAGTTTTCCACTACAATATGTGTAGACGACCATTAAGTTGGCGAATTGGGTTTAGGTTTTTGCAAGATGTGGCGAAAGATTACTTTCTTCTCTTTTTTTGGCTTGATATTCATTGATCCATATTTCGATATTTCGCTCGACTTTTACCCTTCTGCTCTTGCACAACTAGCACTAATCTCACATCTAATCCAATAATGTTCCTTTGTCGCTCCTCTCACTCGACTTAATGGCACAGAACGCAGGCGAAGAACAAATGACCCGACAAAATGTGCTTCCTCCGCTTCGTCCCATTGAACAATTTTTGCAAAAGGGAAAAGAACAACAATTCTGAGAGGATTGAGAGAAGAGGGTGGATGAATTTGGCTTCTTAATGGAACGGTCGGCGGTAGTGCGAGTAGTGCGAGAAGCGAGTGGGGTTAAGATGGGAGGAAGCGATGTGGAGAAAGTCGTGTAAATATAAATTGCATTATCGTCAAGCAGCTCGTATTTGTTTAACATTTCATTTCTTTATTATGCAATATGAGCCAAAATGTATACGCGAAATTGGCGCGGGGAGAGGATTTATAAATTATATGCAAAATCCGCAACATAAACCCACACCGCGAAAAAAAGGATGCATGCGCGGAATATAAATAATTTGTTCAAAATTGTATCCTCATTTGTCTTCATATTTGTAGTACGTACTTCCGAATATGAACGACCGAACATCAACTTGTTTCCTCTTGAGAGATGAAAAGATTGTGCAAAAATCTACAATAATATAACGAATTTGCATGCGAAATTTCCGCGAAGTGGGGGATGGAGGGAAAATATTATTGTGCATTCAAGTATCGCATCAATAGATAAGTTTAGGAATATTTGAGGAATATTTTAGTTTAGGAATATCTTAATATTCTTTAAAGGCCTTGTTGAATTGGACGTGTTCCATTCTGCTCTCAGTAAAGATTAAGCGGTTGGATTGAGGAGATGAGAGAGAAGAAGAAAGATTGAGCATTTGTGAAGATGATGATGATGTAAGGAGAAAAAAATAGTGCACGTCGGTTGGGAATTTTTAAAAATTCATGAAAAAAGTATAGCTCAAAAAATAAAATTTGATCTAGTGTTAAGTAATATACAGTTAAAATTATGAAATATTTTTGTTATGTAGATGAGTGTATCGTTAAAATGGGGGAAAAAATTATATAATCCTCTGGAAAAATACTTTTTGAATATTTCCTGTCCACAAAATGCATGGATTGGACCCTTTGTTCTTTCTTATTTCGTTCCATTTTTATTCCTTCCGTTCCACCCGATTTTTCTGCTCTCCGATTGCTCGTTCGTTTCACTGGTATTTGGTTAAGCCGAGATGAAAGAGAAAGTTTTGGGTTTTGAATTTTGAATGTGGATTCGTGATTTGGATTTATCCCCAATTTATTCGAGTATATGTACGTATATACATTTAGTATTGGGTGGGTTGGCTTTTGGCTGTCTTTTTAGAAATGAATGAATATATTTCTTTCTGTTTTGCAGATTTCTTGGATTCGCAGAAGAGATTGGCACATATTATCCGCAGGCAAGCAAATTTATACATCCGACGAGAGATTCCAAGTCTTACATTCGGACGGATCTGACGAATGGACGTTACAGGTGAGAATTTCGAGAGGAGATCAAAATCATTGGTTTAAAATATGTACGTTTTTTTTGCTTACAATTCATATTCCAATCTTATTAACAGGTCAAATTTGTGCAAAAGCGTGATAATGGGTAAAAAATCTTAATAATTTTCCCAATTTTTAATAAAAATCCGGAACACCTTGTAATTTTGCGTATTTATTTTATTTCCCAAAAAAGGACTTACGAATGTCAGGTAAGAGAAAATATACTACATATAAAAAATCATAAACATTTTCTCCTCCAAAAAAGCAACAAGAGAAGAAACACGTTGGTTACTTTTAAGTAAATTTGTGTCTTTTCCTCCAAACCCGAACGGACTTTCTTCTCTCCTAACTTAAATCGAATAGAGAAAGAAGAAAGTCGCGAAATCGGTGGTGGAATACTAACGATATGGAAATTACACTGCGGACGAGTCTCCTCGCACAAACTGTCCTCTCCACTTTCACGACTCGCTCGTTGGAATGGAATTTCTTGTTTTAGATGAAGTTGAAGTATTTACTCAAGTTAAAGACTTTGCCGTGTAAATAGTCAAATCTATCCCGAATTCTCTCCCTTCTCCGTTCTCCCCGTCTCCAGAAACTCTGCACAAAAAGTGTGGAAACATTTTGTACATAATTTTTGGTTTGTGCCTTATGAACTGGACGCTTTCACTAATTTCCAGCCCCACTAACGCGGAATTACTATTATTATATAAGTGGGAATTATATTTTCTCCGTTCCACTTAATTTGCGGCGTGATGACAATAGCACTTATTTCGTGGCACGTAGCACATTTAAAGAGGGAAATTAAGTAGTCGCTGTCCAGAATTAGGGCTTTTTGACAAATATCGGGTGGGATCATTTTACTGTTCTTTTCTCCCTTTTGTCCCGTCACGTAATAACTTATTCCATTTTACGACATCTTACAACACGAGACTTTTATTTTATTTTTATAAAATGGGAGGCGAATTGGGCTCAAATATCCGTCCTTCTACTTACATCCATCCCACCATTTCAGACGGTATCTAGACAAGCCTCGTGATGAAAGTGTCAATCGATCCGGGTGACATTCACATTTCGCAAAATTCCGAACATTTTTCACCCTCCATTGACACCCAATGACTGCCCTCCGCCCGGAATTGGAATGAAGTTTAGCCCCACGAACGAAACGAAATGTCACCGAGGAGGGGACATATTTGTTAAAAAGATGTTAAAAAGAGTGGCCTGGGTGAAAGCGGGTTTTGTGTCCAGTCCAGCATTTTTCTCGAACTAATTGAATATTCTTGTAACACGACGAATGATGGAATGTCCCCGTCGGTGAAACTATTTGTTAAAAAACGAACCCACACAACGGTTGGCCGACTTAAGTCAAGGGTCGTCTTTTTTACGGCGCACGATGCATTTTACCGTGAAAATGAAAACCCTTCAAAACCACACTTACCAAACCAAACCAAACCCAACCACCAAATGGGCTGGCATTGTATGTTCGCTACCATTCTGGCCATGAAGTTGTTCCAACAAAAGAAACCAAACCACCAATTTCCAACACGGGCCAACGAAACGAAACGCAACGAAAGCAGAGCGGAATGCCAAAGTAAACTTGTTTTTGTGTATTGACTCAACTTTTAACTTTTTTTAAGGGCCTGGGTAAAGTGAGTGAGGGATATGAAAAGGGTGAAGAATTGGATGGATGGATGGAATCTGTGGAAAAAACTTTCATGGGAAAGTATTTATGTATGTATCCACCCAGCAAGAGTCAGAGCAGACCTTCATTGTCGTCCTACATGCTGCCTGCTGCCCTTGTTCTGTCCCCGACTGCATGCACATTCAATTCTTCTTCAATAGATTTGATTCAGGAGTGCAGAAAAACCAAAAACCACTTTTTTTCTCTCTCTCTCTCTCTTCTACACAATCCAATTGGCCATGTTTGTTTGAATTGTTCGTGGTTTTAGGTGGGTTTACTTACTTGGTTGTTACGGGACAGGGTTACGCAACGTGCCAAATGGACTGGACGGGAGTGCATTGTGTGTGTGTGATTTGTGAAGAAGGGGTTTTGAATGGGAATGAGAGAAATTGCTGGCAGGTGGATTGGACTGGAGACAAATTTGCGAAGAGAGGAATTGTGTAGTGACCCGGTTAACATAAGTGGCGCAATTTTGGCTTTCTTCTTCTTCTCCTGCTGGATACGTACGTATGTAGGAATCATTAAGTGACTGCAGCTGGGACACCCTGTCATTAAGTTGGTGGTGGTTATTTAGACTTGCTGATTGGAGCTGCACTATTTTGTTTGTTTTGTTGCGGTGGGTTGGCCACATTTCTTTGATGATTAGCTTGTTATGTAGTGGAATGGGCTGAAATTGGTCTCATTTACCAATTTAGTTACATACATGTCTAGTTCCTCCGTGGTTCGGTGACCATTAATATATGCGTGATGTGAATAATGACGGTTGATTGGGGTGCACCACCAATTTTACGTGGTTTTGGGGACATTCTTTTATAGAACTAACTACCCGGGTGGGTTAAAGTGAAAGTAAATTTCCAAATTGTGTGTCCCATCATACACTTTCACCGCGAAGAATTGCATTGTAAGGTTCATTTGTGCTTGTAGATTGTCATGTTTTCCTCGCCCAGAAAAAAATACCTGGGCCACAAAATTACGAGTGCAAGTGTCAGGTCACTTCTTCAAGTTCTTGGGGCTGCCATGTCAGTAAAATGGGTTTTCAATATCCGCTTTCTCCCCTTCACTTTCACTCTTGGGTCGGTTTTTTATTTGCCCAGTGTCCACTCTGTCGGATGAGATTGACAGATAGCTCGTGTGACTGACCACGGCGCACACATCGTCACAAAACCGTCAGCCGCAAAAACTCCGTATTTGACTTTACGCTCAATTGCTTCACTTACCATATGCGACAGAGTACTCGCTCGATTAACGTTCACCTTGGCGTGTGCACTTTTTCAGAATTTTCTGACCCAGAAAATTCCAAAAAATACTCGAGTAAGATTTAATCCCGAATAAATGAACCATTTGACGGGTCGTAATTAACACGAAGGATGACACGCAATCTGATGAGGATTCCCCACCGAGGAAAAAAGTATTATTGACGTTATCTGACCCAAATCAAGCCGTGGCATCTCCGCCCTGCCATAATTATCTCCACATCCATCTTTTATTACGGGTCAATTAGTCGTAATGATGAAATGCGACTTTCCCTGTCATTAATTTCTTCATAACCTTCTCCAATTTCATTGCAATTAATGTTTTGTAATGGTTCAATCGTATAACAAAATAAATTTCCAACTGTTGTAATTAAGGTTTTGTTTTAAAGAGCAAATCTATTTTCTTCGCCTTAAAAGTGAAAGTTCACCACACAAATTGAGTTATTTGGGTTAATCGTATGCAGATTCGAGGGTGGTTGGTTTGTAGTGCAGTTTAGCTTTCTCTCTCTCCGCTGGCAAAGATGTGATGAGATAAATCAGGTCCTTCTCTTCTTCATGTGTACATCTCGCCGGTCGTGATTTGGTTACTTTCTCCACTATCTCGACAGGCCAAGAGTGCGCCCCACCCGGGCAGAAAATTAGGAAGAAAACAAACCATGTACATATACTCGTACCATTCATTCATTCATATTTGTCTATCTGGGTGCATAACCTACTTGAAATGTGTGACGTACACACAAAAAAACTTTCTTGGCAGGGCACCCCAACCCAAAACCCGTATCATCATCGCTCCGTGATACGAATTCCTTGAAACGAAACGTAAAATCGCAACATAAACTATTTACATTTCTCCAGAAAAAAAGCACAGACGCGAAGTTGGATATGCATGCCAGCTTAAATTAACAAGAGAAAAGAAGAGAAAGAAAGCAGGACAAAGTCATCAGGATGTTGGCTGTTGTTATAATTTTAATTGAATTTGGCCGTCATGATGCTTTCTTCACAATTCATGTAAAGTACTCTGCATTATGTAGGACTCGGTTCAAAAAGTAAATTGATTCTGGCAGGAGTTCTTTTCGCAGAAGAGAGAGAGAGAAAAAAAATCTAGTCTTGTCTTCTCTGCATCGCAGCCCAGCTCAGCCAGCCAGGCTGAGCAGCGAGTTGTTTGCCTTTTCTTGCACGTATTAAAGTTGGTGTGTGTGTGTATGAAAATGAGATGTGCTCACTTCATCCATCCGACCAAACCCGTATGAATTCACGGTTGCTCATCCTTTAAAATGCGGAAGGACGTCTTTTTTGGCCTCCGTCGCTTTCTCCTAATGGAAATACGGGTAAGCATGGAAAGCAGCATGACTTGGCAGATTTCACTTTGCTCACCACTTTTGAATTGATTGATACCGTATTAGGAGGAGAGCAGGCAGGGTGTGAGGCTGAAATCGAGATAGGATCGGAGAATTGCTTTCTTTTTCTATACAAAAAGTGTATAAGGCGGATATGAAGAGACAGGGAAAACGGCTTTCTCTCCGACACCTCAACCACGACCGACCAAGTAAGTAAGTGGCTAGCTAGGTGAATAGTTGGGTGGGTCGAGGTTGGTTGGTTGGTGTGGAAAGACAAGGTTGAAAACGAACCCGGGAGAAAGTTTTTCTTTCTTTGAGAAACATTTGTCTCGTAGCGTGTGTGTGAGTTTTTGTCCAATTTGTTCTTCTTCTCGGGGAGAAAATGATTGTGGATGATGGTGAGATGAGGAGTCAGCCAGTACGGAGCTGCTCAGCGATGATGTGTCGGTAGAAAGATAGCCGTGGTGGTGGTGGTGGGTGAAGGAAAGGGAAGTGATCCGTTTTCGGTGCGGGTGTCGGTAGATTGGGTGACTGATAGGGTGACGAGACTGGCTGGGTATCACTTTCTCTTCTTTTTTCTTGAGGAGATTGAATTGGATGGAAAGTTGGAGTGAAGAAAGAAGAAGTGGGATGCTAATAAAGTGCCATGGTTTTTGGCATCAAATTTTGTTAGGATGATGATGATGATAATAATGCAAAAATGAGATCATTGTTATAAATTGATTGGGAGGAGAGGGTGCAGCAGATTTGGAAAATGTGGAAAGGTTTGTATTAAAAATACATGCGTAGATTCTTAACGAAATGGTGTAGAATCATATGACCGACACGGTAATAACGGGTATTACGGTATAGTGATGAAGTATACCGTTGTAGTAATGAAAATTTACCACTCAAAGAAAACTATTACCAATCGGGGAGGAAGTTATTCCCAAATCTATACC